GAAGAACAACAAAAGTGGATAGCAAAGTTGCTGGGATACAACTTTACTACCAAATACAAACCAGGCATTGAGAATAAGGCTACAGATGCTCTCTCAAGGAAGCCTACTTTACAATCATTATCAATAGTAACCTGTCAGGAGTGGGAAGGACTAGAGGAAGAGTTGGAGAGGGATTCCAAAACTGGTGAGATGATTCAGAATGTCCTAACTCAACCAGACAAATTTCCTGATTTTAGGATCAAGAAGGGCTTACTTTACTTTAAGGGCAGATTGGTGTTACCTAAGAGTTCCAAGAGAATAGATACTAATGGTATCATACCATCCTTAAGGAGTACCATGACTCTGCTATTGGAGGGCATTCTGGTTATTTCAGAACCATGAAGAAGATCTCAAATCTTTTCTACTGGTCAGGGATGAGATCAGACATCAAGAACTATGTCCAAGAGTGTGATGTCTGCCAAAGGAATAAGTATCAAGCCTTTAAGCCTGCAGGACTATAACAGTCATTACCTATTCCCAGTCAAGTGTGGGCTGACATCAGCATGGACTTTATAGGAGGGTTACCTAAATCCCAGGGTAAGGACACCATTCTAGTGGTTGTGGACAGATTAACCAAGTTTGCTCATGTTTTGCCACTATCTCACCCTTTTAATGTTAAAGAAGTGGCAGAAATATTCATCCAAGAGGTAGTAAAGCTACATGGGGTTTCCTAAATCAATTGTAAGTGACAAGGATAGTTTATTCCTAAGTTCATTTTGGTTGAGCTATTCAAATTAGCAGAAACACAACTGAAGTATAGCATATCCTATCACCCTCAGAGCCTATCACCCTCAGAGTGATGGACAAACTGAAGTTGCCAACAGATGCTTAGAAACCTTCCTCAAGTGCATTACTGGAAGAAAGCCTAAACAGTGGGTACAATACAAACTACCATATATCCCGAAAGAATACCCCATACCGAGCATTATATGGCCAGGAGCGTCCTACCATTATCAAAGGGGATGTCAGTTTGACTACAGTAGCAGAAGTTTCAAGGTTAACAGCGGAAAGAAATGAGATGTTAAAGGAATTGAAGGGTAATCTGACTAAAGATCGGAACCAGATGAAACAAAAAGCAAACAAACACAGGAGGGAAGTATCCTTGGAGGTAGGAGATAAAGTTTTTTTAATGATAGATCCCTACAAGATGAAAAGCCTAGCAAAAAGACTGAATCAGAAGATGAGTCCCAGATTCTATGGTCCTTTTGATATCATAGAAAAGATCATCCCAGTACTCCAGTAGCTTTTAAGCTCAAGTTGGCTGAAGATAGTAAAATATATCCTGTATTTCACATATCCTTACTAAAGAAGGTGTTACTCCTACAACTTCTTACTAAGATCTCCCTAAATGCCTAAATGAAGAGTGGGAACTTCATGTGCTGCCAGAAAAGGTGAAGGATACCAGAATTAACACCGAAAGGAGAAAGAGAAGTGCTGATACATTGGAAGGATCTCCCAGATTTTGAAGACTCGTGGGAAAAACTGTGCAATTAATCCAAGAGCAGTTTCCAGAATTCCACCTTGGGGACAAGGTGGATTTTCAGGGGGGAGTATTGATAGAGATGCGTTTGTAAAGAATAAAAATGATAGGTACTTTGGGAGAGTCTTTTCTAGAAGAGGAATGAATAATAGTTAGTTGTTAGTTAATGTGCTGGCAATTTCTGTTATTTGCTTTGAAGGTATAAATAACAAGTCTGGGAAGGGAAATAGCATGCTGTTAGACAGTTAGTTGGGACTGGGAAGATTAGAGATACTCTGTCTCTTTTCTTTGGGACTCATTGTACTTGCTTTCACCACACCATTAATGAAGCTTGAGATTGTTTCTTGAATACTATTTTCATCTTTTCTGTAATCTTACCTACTGGCGAGGGTCCTATCAGTTTCGTCCATGAACATTTGTTCTTCCTTTCAACAGAAAGATCATCCCCATAACGAATAAAGAATTACAGCTTTGAGCCTTTGAGTATGAGAAATAGTGGGTGTTCATTAAGATTATTGGTTTTGGTTGTTCTACAAAATAAGTTTCGAGTTATATAGAACTATCAAGGAATTTATTCTTTTTCTGAGTATGGATGCAAATTAAAGACACAGTAAAAGCTCCCTGCAATAGCTGATTTAATCATTTAAAATATATCAGGATAATGCAAAACTACTCTTGGATTATGATAAAATATAAAATAAAAACTAAAAGCCCCAGGGTTTAACTTATTAGCCTCGGGTAGTCGGGCCAATTATTTCTTTACATTTGCAAATTATGAGTTCTCAGTACATGGAGTCGTTTCATTTAACATGGTACCAGAGACCCCTCCTAAAAATATTAAGTATACATGTGATCAAAACCCTAGTTGTCCTATTTTCCACAGTGAACAAAACACATGAGCTACCCATACACTTCAATGCATCTCAAACATTGTTTCATAAAAACAATATTATCACTTCACACGGATTCACTACGAGAGCTACACCAAAAAGTCCACAACTAGTTGCTTCAACACATGTTGTCACGTGCTACAAACCTCCATGCAACTTCTATACACATGCCTTTACGTGATGCCGGTGATGGCAGGTGAGGCTAACTATGGTCACAGTTTTAAAGGAAACCCTCCCGTTCTAATCACGGTATATGGTGACGTTCCTAGATCCATTGAAAATTTATTTAATTTAGGGTAACTATATGAAAATATGCAGTTATCACCTAGTAGAAACACCTGGTTTCAGTTTTGTAATTTTTTTTGTTTGGAGGGATCAATATCTACAATTTTGAATTAGTTAGATTTTAAGTAAAGAGGGAGAAAAAAAACAGTAATGTCAAAGTACAAGTTGAGAATGCTGGTATGGGAACTAGTGGTAAATTCAAAAAACTTAGTGGATGGTTCTGTGGGCACCAAAAAAACAAGTTTCAAGTGAGTTCAACTTAAACTGTTCCAGTCAAGAACAAGTTTCCAGCTATTAATATAAAGTTTAAAGTGTAAATTTTAAGCTTGGAGCATATGACACTATAGTCAGAGGGGGAAGGGGATAGGTTAAGAAACCCTAAGGTTCCCCTGACAGAACCATTCACTTGACAATACACTTATACAAGACCCCTACCCTACACTTAAAGTAAACCTTTGCTCAAAAAGTCAACCGCTGTGACGCTGTCATCTACCCAACTCTTGCAGCAGCACTTTTCGTTCAAAATTATGAATGAAGGCCCTGATATGAAGCAGAATCTGGGCTTGGAAGAAGAGGGGCAGAAGCCCCCGTGGGTTTACCGAAGGCGGGACGGGCTTGAGCCCACCTTCGTGGGCTGGTTGCGGGCTGTTTAATTAATATTTATTATTCCTTTTATTTTGTTTCCTAATTTAATTTGTTTCCTAGTAGGATTTATTTAGGACTTCTATTCTTATTAGAATTAGATGTTTCTTATTTCTATTTAGTTTCCTAGAATGATTTAATTAGGAGTTCTATTAGAACTTAGAGGTTTCCTATTCTATTTAGTTTCCTAGATTAATTTAATTAGGACTCCTATTCTTATTAGACCTAGAGGATTATTTATACCCCTTGTATGCTTCATTCTTGATCATCTGGGAATAAAAGTTGGTTTAGCCTTTTGGCTCTGGGCAACGGTATTTATTTATCGTTGATTATCTGGGCAACGGTTCACCCCGTTGATTTTTATTTTTCTGTTCACAACAATTGGTCCGACCTGCCGGATCCCGTCCCGCCAGAATGACGAGATCTATCGGTGAACGTTTGTCAGAGATGCTGGCCAAGCACACTCAAACCCTAAAGGAGCACAACATGCGCCTGACAGAAATCGCCGCATCCCTGGCAGCGCTTACTAAGGCGCTCGTTCCATCAGTCACGACGGAAACAAGCTCGGACACGGTTGGCAGCCCCAACTTATCTACGCACAGCGGCGACGGACAGCTGCACAACGTCACTTCTTCATTGGCTGCACTAAAAGAGACTCTCGCACCGCCAGCGGCGGAGCATTCAATGGTGGTGACTTCACTCGATGCGGCAGCAGCATCCTCGTTCGGAATTGGAGTACGCAACTCCTTTCTTACGACGTTGCCCTCGTTTAACGAAGTAGAACCGATCAGCCGGGTTGATAAGGCTGAGAAACGGTTCAAATTGAATTGTGCTCTGCCGGGAAAGAAGGCGGCAGCCACTGTAGTTGTGATGGAAGGGTCAGCCGTATACCGGTTGACCTCGATGCGGACACGAAAGCCGGGCATGTCATGGGATGAGCTTACACAAGCCTTGGTGGCTCGTTTTGACTCACAGTTTAAGGGCAATTGCTTTGAACGGCTGTCCGGGGGCAAGCAGACAGGGACTGTGGAGGAGTACATCTCAATTTTTCCTAAAGATACTGGGCAGCCACCGGGAACAAATGTCAGCCAGTTTCCGGATTTCAACCTTGAGGACAAGGTTTTTTCGAAGGGGGATGGAATTGATATGAAGCAGAATCTGGGCTTGGAAGAAGAGGGGCAGAAGCCCCCGTGGGTTTACCGAAGGCGGGACGGGCTTGAGCCCACCTTCGTGGGCTGGTTGCGGGCTGTTTAATTAATATTTATTATTCCTTTTATTTTGTTTCCTAATTTAATTTGTTTCCTAGTAGGATTTATTTAGGACTTCTATTCTTATTAGAATTAGATGTTTCTTATTTCTATTTAGTTTCCTAGAATGATTTAATTAGGAGTTCTATTAGAACTTAGAGGTTTACTATTCTATTTAGTTTCCTAGATTAATTTAATTAGGACTCCTATTCTTATTAGACCTAGAGGATTATTTATACCCCCCTTGTATGCTTCATTCTTGATCATCTCGGAATAAAAGTTGGTTTAGCCTTTTGGCTCTGGGCAACGGTATTTATTTATCGTTGATTATCTGGGCAACGGTTCACCCCGTTGATTTTTATTTTTCTGTTCACAACAGGCCCACAATAAGATAAAAATAGGAAAGGAGCAGCACACCAAATTGTACTCGCAGCTTTCTTCACATGCATCTAATATCGAATGAAATGCCTCCATCGGTAAAGTTAAACCCTGCTTATGCATCTGATCCACTAAATCAAGCGCGGTGTGTACCTAAATTTCAAAAACAATAAGAAATAATGAAAAATAAATAAACCTCATACTGCTGCAGCTTGCATATCCACTTGGGGAACAATGTAACTTGCATCAAGGAATTACCACTCACTACCATGACTAAGAAGCTTTTCAATTCGTCTTAATCTTATTTGTTATTGTGTATTCTTATTTAATACAATCGGATCAGAAAGATCCATATCAGGTCACAAAGATCTAGATCAAAATATCAAATTAGTATTCTTATTGTTGAATATTATTAATTATTATATCCATTCGTGTTATTATTAATATTAATCATTATTATGTTTTGATATATCAATTGTCACTTTGATCATCATTACTCCCTCTATATTTTTTGTTTGCTACACTTTCCTTTTTGGGAAGTTTTGTGTTTGCTACACTTCCCCTTTTTGATAAGATTACCCTTTAAAAATACTCGATCACCCTTACTTTTTCTACTTTGCATATTCTATTTCATACTTTCCCACCCTCTCTCCTACTTTTTCTACACTTCAATACTCCTACTATTTTTCCCTGAAATGTTCTGACTTCTGACAAACCCTATTGTAGCAAACAATAGAATATTGGGGGGGGGGGATATTTCATTATTACTTTTATTTATTATCAGGTGAATTCATATTGTATTGGTTTATTCAACAAATAAGAAAACCTATTCTGTTTCATCACAAATCATATATTTTATCTTAATAAATTTGTTTTAGGTAACACTCTTATTATTATCAATATTATTACTATTATTATTGTGTTAATAGTATTAATAAAGTATAATTTTGAAAAGGATTATTATTAATAATACAATGACTATCATTATGACATTAATTAATTGCAATTACAATAATAAGAAATCTTATGTTTTTATCCTTTTATCTTTATATATATATATATAGATAAGAGATCACATACTAACCATGCTTAAAATACTAACTTACTAACTCAATAATATGCAACACATTGAACTTCAATATGCAGTACAAATAATGTAAAGATGCACACTGTGAATTTCAATATGCAATAAAAACAATATGCAAAACTTTGAACTTTAATATGCAGTACAAATAATATGCAACACTTTGAACTTCAATATGCAGTACAAATAATGTAAAGATGCACCGTTTTTGATAGTTTGTAGGTTAGCATGGGAGGAATGGTTAGTATGTGATCTCACCCCTATATATATATATATATATATATTCTTTTTATCCTTTTTATCTTATCATATTTATGTATATCTTATCTCTATTGTATCTTACCTTTTTTATCATTTCTATCTATCCTTATCTTTTTATATATCATGTATCTAATATTTCTTTTCCTTTTGACTCTGATATCATGTATCCATTCATGTTAGCTAACCCCAAAATCTTTTGGGACTAAGGCTTGGATGTCGTTATTGTTGTACAATAATAACAAACTAATCATAACAATAGTTACAATAATGACAACCATAGCAGCAGTGGGCAGCCCGGTGCACATTGGTGTCCCCGCAAGGCGAGGGTCTAGGGAAGGGTTCCACCACAAGGGTGTATAAGGGACAAGCCTTCCCTTGCCATTTTTGAAAAGAGGCCACTCCCAAGATGTAGTAGTGATAATATTAATAATAGGGAAATATTAATAATAATAATAATGATAATGATAATGATAATGATAATGATAATGATAGTAATACTCTAATAGTAATCGTAAAATTAATTTTAATATGACTTGAATAAGTTAAGAATTATTACGAAAAGACGTAAAACAATAAGCTCGGATAACAAATATTTGGATTATATAAGAACTATTCCGATCAAATAAGAAAGATTCATAACATATCAGAAAGACGAAGACTAGATCAGTGAATTTTAGATCTGAAATTCAAAGCAGTTCAAAAAATGCCTTAGTCGTGCTTCTTATCATAAATGTTTAGATTAGACCAACTGAACCGCTTCAAAGAATAAAGGCAGTGATCCACATTATTCTTTAACAACGTACTTACTCCCTCGTCCCAAAATAATAGTTACGTATTTCTTCTTTGGGTTGTCCACTTGTCCCAAAATAAAGGTTAAATTTCTTTTTTGGCAAACTATCCTACCTACCATGCATACCTTCCTTTTACTAAATTTACAACTTTGCCAATGCACTTTACTTACTTTCCACTGCTACAGTAAAAGCAAATGATACTTTAGGTATTTTACCTCACTTTCTTATTGTACGTGCCCAAACAAAAAGACAATGTCACTATTAATTTGGGACGGAGGTAGTAAAACTTATTAAGTATGATATACCTTACATGATTCACAAGATAACTTAATGAGCCTGGAATACTGCACAGATGTAGGTGTCACATCAATGTCTTCGTGCAATACTTTGAAATTACGAACAACATCTTCAACCTTTCCGTCCGTAAACAAAGTCAATTAGAGCAAAGTAGGATAGAAAACAATCAAAAAGTGGAAGATAAAAGTATATGTATAGGAAATTACTAAAAGCATTCATAATAAGTTGCTCACCGCTAAATTAGGTACATTTGTACTGTATTCAAAGATGAAGCTTAGGATGTTCTCTCCTTCAATATCTGGATAGTGAGATGTTGTATAAAGAAGCATGTTGAACATTGTATCAAGTATTAATGCCAGATAAAAATAAAGGGATATTTTGACTTTGCACCCCGCTTTTTGGGTGATATTGGACTTTGCACCCCATTTTCAAAACTTTTAGACTTTACACCCTATTTCCCCTAAAATGTCTTTGCCTTTGCACCCCATCTAGGAATTTTTCTTCACAAAAAGTTGTAGATAGGGTGCAAAGTCTAAAAGTTTTGAAAATGGGGTGCAAAGTCCAATATCACACAAAAAGTGGGGTGCAAACTCAAAATTCCCCTAAAAATAAACTATATCTCAATGACTAAAAATGGAATTGTATCACAGAAAACAATTGGTTGTTACACATGTGCACAACGTTTACTAGAAAATATGAATCACAGATTAAACATTCACATTCTATTAAGTAATGTAATTTATATGTTCACTCTAAGATGTACGCCAATTTACCCAGCAAGTAATACACTACCTGCTTGTGAGCAGATACATGATTGTTACGATAAATCATCAGATGCGAAATGCTTAGCAAAAAACTGTCTTATGCAACCCTCAGATTAAAAGAGAGCATGAATAGATACGACCCCCACCCCAAAAAAGAATAATGATGATGTGTTATATCTTACCAGTGCTTTTCAAATCCAGAAAAAACTTCTCTGCAATGTTCTGCAACATCAACTTCCCCAAGGCTTTGAAAATCTTTGTCAAGCTTTTCATAGAAGTAACTTTTGTAATGTCAAGAGTTTTGACAAGCTGCATAAACAGCTCTTTACTGTAGTCACCATCACACATTGCTAACAAATATGTTTCTGCAAAATTAGATAACTGGTAGTATTTTAGTTTTTAGTTCTTCATATTGGCCATTGATACAAATTTAAATTTTTTATAATCTGACAATAATAACTTTCCATCATTTTCAATGGAGCCAAAGACTCACTACTTTTTGGCTTGGGAATAGGATGGAATAAAGCAAAATGTCTCACTAAACTGTCTGCGCTTCTTTGTTATGAAGTAACAGTCAGTCTATGCAATTTTCGACGCGATTTTCACTATGGGTCATTCGGAAACAGTCTCTCTATGCTTTAGTACAGGGGTAAGACTGCGTACATCTGAGTCATCTGACCCCGTTACCCCACCATAGGTGGGAGCCTTTGCGGCACTGGGGTAATGATGATTATGACGACAATAATAACACGTCACATTTGATGATTTGAATAAACTCACCTTAGAAGATAATCTAACAAAAGTTATTTAGCACTGTTATTTCTAAATTGGCTAAAGGGTCAAATAGGCCCTCGAACTAAATGAAAAAGTGCAATTCACCCCTTATATAGGAGGCTCTGTCCGGTCTTCGCCAATTGGGGCGGTTCTTTGTGGAATTTTTTGATGAATTTTTTAAAGCATCTTCATCATTAAGTCTAGTTTACCCATACCAAATTTTAGATAAAAATTCAACCGGGAAGATAGTCAAATGATTTTTTGAAAAGTACTGCGCTGTTTAACTGCATAGTTATCTTCAAAAATTCATTTGACTGTCTTCCCGATTGAATTTTTAGCTGAAATTTGGTATGAGTAAACTAGACTTAATGAAGAAATGCTCAAAAACTTTCATCAAAAAATTCCACCGGGAACCGCCCCAATTGGCGACGGCCGGACAGAGCCTCCTATATAAGGGGTGAATTGCACTTTTTAAGTTAGTTTGAGGGCCTATTTGACCCTTAAGGCTTTGTAAATTTTAAACATTAAACTCAAGAGTGGATCGCATGCATAACCAAAAAAATTCAAATTGTGTCACGTAATATACAATGACATGTTCATGTTTAACAAATAAAATATCTAGAAAGTATTAAGCCCCATAAATTACAAACCTTGAAAAGTGTGTTTGTCTTCACCATCATAGAGTGCAAGATTATAGCATATTTCTTCTAAAGTATCATGATTATTGGTCTTTATCCAGAGCAGCATCTCATAGTAAGCTATATTTGGAATTGAATCATCATTTCCATCTCTTATGAGTTCACAGTAAAAGTGAAACTCTGGAACCATACCAACTTCCGTGAGATACATAAGAACTTGGCCGTAAGAGTCTTCGCATAATTGAAAACCCTGATCTCTCATTGATCTAAGAAATTTATATGCATTGGAAAGTTGCTTTAATGACTCTTCTTCATTGTCAATCATCCTAGCCTTTTCTATACAGCTCCTTATCAATGTATTATACTCTATAAGGCCGGTTTCGCGACCAAGTTTAGTGAACACCTCAACTGTAGCATCTGCACCATGTTTATCAGCACACAATGCAATTAAGCGGTCCACGCTGGTATCTTGGCCAACCTTTGAAAACTTGCGCCTCCTTTCTCGTGAAACTTGTTTCTTGTGCATATGTACATTACTATTTGAAATGTTGGAGAGCCACGGGGCTTCATAAACATTTACCGAAGTCGAATAACCACTGGTCATCTGTGATTGTGGTGGATGTACCACATCTGAATCTACACATATGCAAGGCAACATGAAGATAGCAAGCATGATACACAACACAAGATGAACTAACTACTAGAAAAAAGGTGAAGCAACTCTCCTTAAAAGTAGATCAAACATTTTCCAAATTGATATATTACATGTACACAACAGAAAATCCTTTGTGGAAAAAACAGAGACTACTGCAAGAATGATGTATTTTGCATGCCCCATTTAAAATGATTTTCCAGTTTCATCAAGCCAAGTGGAATAAATTAGCCACCCTGGAACAGTAAAGGATTAGCGCTATTAGTCCCGATGAAATGCATATGTCTACTCAATGTGTGCTATATGAAATATGAAAGTGTGTTAGTTTTTCAATGAATCTATTGCTCATTTCCAAATCCTAGAAGGAGCTTTACATTAGGATGAATAGATGTATCAATTGTTTTGTAATCCAACACAGCAACACGGCCATTTCAAATATATCTAGTGCATATTTGCTTATAAACTCAATGCTGATGTGTTTCCTATAATCCTATGTGACATATACAAAAGTTTCAAGGAGCCCCATATGACTCCCTTATGGAATCATTTGGGGGGTATCATGGCATAAGCATAACAATAACCATTCATTTTTAATAGGGGACCCCACTAAAAAATGAGTGGTTATTGTGATGCCATGATACCCATATGACTTCATAAGGGAGTCATATGGGGATCCATAAAACTACTCATGACCTCTACCCCAATCATATATTTTAGCTTACCAAGATCCTTGGTTTAGAAATGCTGAAATAAGTATGTCTTTTACAGGTTATGCCTGCTATATCATCCTGGTTATTACATTATCATCAACAGAAAAAACCAGGTACACTTCTACATAGTATTATTGATTTATTTCCATCGTTGGTCCTTAAAAACTGAGCTCAAATTTCTCCATGGCTCTACACATTTCTACATAATAGCATTTCCCTTTAAGTAGGAGTATAATGGTTAGGCAGTTCACAATTTGATTTATTTGGTTTGCTAAGACCTATATGCAATCAACTTCCTGGAGAGAGAAGCACAGAAAATTGATTGATACACTGATTGCATTAACTAGAATAAAATTGAACAAATGTACAGGAAAAATGTAACTCGCTTTTTCAGAGAATACGCACCACACAATATGGAAGATAAATCCCGTGATAGCAGAAATTCTGGATCTTCTGTCACGAAAATAAGAAACAAATTAGCTATCTCAGAATATCCTGCCTCAGCTATCCTGATACAACGAGAGGGTAATGCTAATGTACATGTAGCAATATGCGTACAGCTTCACAAACAAAGCTTCACTAGAAACTGAGCTATATCTAAAAATCACGCCATACATCAACTTCCTTCTCACTTCCGGTAATAATCATAACGACCAGAAAGAGGCGTGTACCGTGATAGTAATCACGCTCCCCGTCCCGCAGGTAATCAACGGCACCACTGGGCGGGCTGGACGAGGAGCTGGCAGAGCGAGACCAAGTGTTTGAAGAGTGAACGAAGCGGTTGAGAGTTGATCCAGAAGCGGAAGAGGTAGCGATTTTGGCAAGTGTAGCGGCGGGACGGAGCAGCGACGCTAGGTTGTTTGCATTGGAGACGGGCATGAGCGAGATCGAGTTGAAGAATGTGGGTGTAAGAGGGGGTTGAGATCGATTCCGCCGGGCAGATATAACTTTGGAAGAAATATGCGTTCGGTAAGGGCGGACGTTGGCCAAAACGGCTAATTAGCTAAGTAAGAGTAAAACATTGCATAAATGCAAAAGTAGGAGCTCCATGTTTAGTAGGAGTAAAAGCGAAGGGTTTGACAAAATTACCCTTAATGGTAAACGGGTTTCTTTATTAATACGGAGCAGTTAAAAACAAAATAATAAAATGAAACAGTATGACAGTCGTACAATGGAAAAACAATTGACTGACATAACCCCGGTGAAAAGCCACTCCTTCTTTGCCGTCACCATCGATGACCGCCGCCAGCCAGTCACCGCCGGCCGCAACTATCGATGTCTCGTCAGCCGCCTATGCCACCATCAACCAGTGCATTCTTCTTCGCCGCTGCCTCTGCCCACCGACCAGCTTATTCATTGCCGCCCTTGACTCTGTCACTACCATCGCCGTCCCTGCCGCCGCCCTCTGCCATCACCTCCTCCTCTTTTAGTGAGACTCTTGGGGATCTCCGTTGTGCCCATCACATTATTCTTGCAAGTTTGATTTGTTGCTTTGTGCAGTTGCCATCTTCATAATAATAATGACATTTTATGAGATTTTAAGATAAAAAAAGATGACACTTGTAGATTCAAAAATATGGCATTAAAAGTAATACTGCCAATTTAATAAAGTTAGTGCCATTTGCCAAACAATTGAAAATGACACTATTTACCAAATGAAAATATGGCATTAAAAATGATTTTGCCATTTTAATTAAGTTAGTGCCATATGCCAAGCAATTGAAAATGACACTATTAGCCAAATGATTAAAATGGCACTACGAAATGCCATAAAATTAAAATGACATTTTTCAATCCAATGGAATTAATAAAAACAATCACCACATTTTTTTTATTTTTTATGAATACAAGAAGTATTTTTTATTTTTTATTTTTTATTTTTAATTAATAGAAGAAAAAAACAGATCTAAAATTTTCTGGTGAAAATCATTGGGGTTTCGAATTTTCCATTGCTAAATTTCCAGATCTCAAAAATCAAATATTAGTTAGAACCTCCATCAAAATCGAAGAAAAACATAGGAGAAGGGTGAAAGGGGGAGAAGAAGAAGGAAAGAAGAAGAAGATGGAGAAGAAGAGAAAAGAGAAGAAGACTCACCAAGTGGACTGCTGCCGCCGCCGCCGCTGCAGCACAACCGACGTCGTCGCGATGTGGCTCCGTCAGCTCCGGTGAAATCGCCTCCATTGTTCTGCCGCCTACACACCCCACCACCATGGTCCCTGTTATGAAAGCAAGAAAATGAAAGAAAGCTAGAGAAGAAGAGAGGGACGTTGATGAGGAGAGATAGAGGAGATGAGTTTAATGACAGGTTATGCGGCGCACTCCTGTGTCCGATATACTCTGTACGAAATAATAGAGGGGTAAATAAGTCTATGTATATTAAGAGTACTCCTATTTAGGTAATTAAAGGGAAGGGCTCCTATTTTTGCACATGGGTCATGTTTTACTCCTACCTTGGGCTATTTCTCTTGGCCAAAATGATAATCTATCTTGCACACCGCCGCTTTTAGTACTGCCATTAGAAAGTGGTAATAATTATAGGCTACAAATAGCATTCCGTTAGTGTAACAAAAGAAAAAAGGTAATTCTATTTACACTCCCCTGCTAAGCACACACCCTCGGTTTCCGTTTTCTTCATAAACCCATTTATTTATGCATATGCCCCTTGAAAGTTAACGTCGCCACTTCAAAATTAACGTCGCTCGAGGAAAGAGGAAAGTCGGTTTGTTCATATCCACATACTCCATCTCGGGTCTGAGCTTTCCAAAAAGGGGGAGAATCGAAGAACCAGGTTCTTCCCATTTCTCCCGCAAGCCATCAAGTGGAAAGGGCACAACTAGACGAGACGGCCTCCAGCGTGTAGTCGGCTACCTCCAGCGTCTTCATCAACCTTCAGCTTCTTCGTGTAAAGCAATATGTATATATCATCGTTTTGAACCCCCTGTCAATGGAGTATACAACCACCACCATTTACAACCTAACCCTGAAGAGGAGGACCTTGAGGTTAAGCTCTATCGTATTCTTGATTTTGTCCCTGTGCCTCTTTCCAATACTTCTAGTAGCTCTGTGAGTTTTGGTTCTGGTGATTCTCAACCTTTGATTCTAGAGTACTTATAGGAAGACATTGTTCTAGACTTCTAGGTTTGCCAAGCTTGTACTCATATTAAGGGAATTTTCTCTTAATTAATTGTCATTTTCATTGTAGTTTGTCTTTAATTTTGTGATTTCATTAATTGTTACTAAGGTGCTTTTGCTCATGTAATCTTGAAGCTCTGCAAGTTGTAATGCTTTTTTTCACACCATTTCCTCTTATTTAGCTCATATTTTTCTTAATTAAATTATCATGTAGTAACATAATAAACTTAATACAAAGAATTTCTCAATCAAGTGATATGGTAGTACCCATCTTGCATTGCTAGTCATTCTATCCCGCTTGAAGCAGAATCTAGGAGAGTGGGAACACTGTCATTCTAATCCCACCACACTACATTCTGCAACCAATGTGATTTATGCCTTCCTTCTGTCATGGTAATATTTGTGCCTTCCTTCTGCCATGTACCTATGCCTATAATCATTCCTTAACAATTTTTTTGGTTTTTAATTTTTTCGCTTTTGGTTGATTTTCCTTTAAGTTTTATAATTTGATCATATATGTTTGTAAAAGATTCAAGGATCAAGTTCTGCTACTTAAAGCACTTCTATAAGGTGTGGGTGCCATGTGGACAGCCATTGAGAAACTACAGCTCTCATCTGAACAATTAACACCCTAGCATCCTGAGATTGTTCTTCTTTGAGTACTGGCGACGTGTTATCGTATTGAATTTTCTATCCTGGAGGATGACATACTTGAGGTCGATCAGTGAGTTAGCGAATTACTGTAGCCTTGTGATCTTTCATCCCATCTCTTGTTTATTTCTACCTAAGAACGAACAACAATTTTCAATAGATCTACTATCCGAAAGTTTTTTTACAATCAATATGAGTATACCAGCTTATTTATGCATGAAGCTCTATCCAGCAACTATATAATTGTAATATCACCTCTTCCTCATTACATGTTTAGATATCAAACATATTTTACTCAATCCACTTCAGTGCAAATAGTATTGCACAAGTTTGGTTGAAATTTGTTGTCCACTTCAGGGGCATCTAGCTTGCCTAGAGCTTGTAAGAAAGCTTGTAAGAAAGCTTCTAAAAACAATTGTTTCTGATGATTTTCTGTGATGATTAATTAACTATTTTTTTTGAATTCCAAACCATTCAAGTTTATATGCTTGATTCAGTAATTGGTGGAAACACCTGCTCATCTTTGTGATTACCTCATCTTTGTGATTACCTCTTTGGATGTTTACATGTACATAAAAAATTGAAATACGAGCATGGATGTGATATTACTCTCATGTAGAATTAGGGTATTTGAGAGTCTTGTACTTCTTCCTTCTGCATTCTGGCCTGCGCTTTGCTCGATCTAATGAGGTTAACGTCTTAACGATAGGTCGATGATAGTTATTAGATTAGATCGACGATAGTTATTAGATTAGATCGTTAACGTCTTAATGATAGGTCGACGATAGGTTAACGTCTTAACGATAGGTCGACGATAGTTAGATAATTGAGATATTTTTATTTATTATTATTTAATTAAGTGGCTGTGTTTAGTAAAAAGAGAGTCGTGAATAGAACTTCTCAAAGAAAAAATAGCGTTAGGAGGTTGGGTCTTTTACAACGCCCACGAGCCTTTTCATTTGAATGGGCCCACGAGCCCATCTGTGGAGAAATCATTTCCGTACAGAAGAAGAGCTATGCCAAGTAGAAGGTTTGGAGGTTGTTTAGCAGTTTTAGGATGTTTTTACTTGGACTGTAATTTGTCTCAGACCAGACCAGATCAGACCAGACTTGGATAGTTATAAAAATACAAAGAAACCAGACCAGACTAGGTCAGTTCAGACCAGATCAGACCAGACCAGCAAATTACAGTCCAAGTAAAAACATCCTTACTAACAACAACATTAGTAACCGGGATAAGAAGGCAAAGAATAAATATAAGACATTTTGCAGAAGGAATCTAGAAGAGATTCAAGAGAAGATGTCACGCCCCGACCCCGTCACCGACATCGACAATCGTCATATAACTCGTTAATGGCAATCAGAGCTCACTCTTATCAAGGACAAAACACATGCAATCGCAACTCACTCTTACCAATGACAAAACACACGCAATCACACTCAATACATAAATAATTTACAAAATGGAAAAGCACCAACTAAAACTTCAACCAAGCACACTCTATGCAAAAGTGCATACAACAAACATGAGCTCCAATCTGAAAATATTGATGATGGCCCCCATAGGAGTCAATACTACCACCCTCAAGTACTGGTAAGAAAAGGGATACTAAAATTTAAAATGAACATTTTTACATATGACTCTAAAAATATGATGACACATATTGGTGGAGCACATTGTCACATGCCCAAGGGTCTAATGATACATGTTGGTGGAGTATATTGTCACATACCCAAGGGTCTAAAGATAGACGATCTTGAACTAAAACTCGGGCCATCTACATTGGGCCAAGGCCCGGCACCGAGACTGGCACCCTAGTTGATCGGGCTAAACTTGCAAGTATACAAGTGCCGATATAGTAATAAAATACTGGTAAATACTGGGTCGATCCACGGGGAAATGGTTGATATTATAAAGTCGAGTATTGAATGCAAAGAATATAAATGGTATAGTTTTTCAGGAACTTTGTTCTTTGAGGTTGATTTAAACAAGAATGAGAATTACTAAGGCAATCGGGATTCAACTAAATGCTTTAATAGTTATTTAATAATAGTTCTTTTCCAATAATTATGAATACGATGTCGCTAATATATTCTCAAGTCCGGTTAAGGCAGCGAGAGCGTGGTTTTCGTTACGTGTAAGTCCCGTTACGGCTTATATTCATCTATCGAAAACCCCGTTGAATATCAAGACATCACACCCATATCATATAAAACCGGATATATTTCT